TATATTTTGTTTTCTCACCTAAAAACCGTAATACATTAAGTAATACCTACTACCTACCTTTATAATATTATGTGTAGGTACTTAATTTATACTTTTAGACCAATGGACCAAAATATTTACTAATATCAGTAGTAATTCATGTCCATACATATAATATAACCCTACTATTATGTATATACATACATCTATAAAATACATTAGTCATATTATGTAGGTACATATTATATATATATCAATTTGTTATTCATAAATTATTACATTTGATATTAAATAAATAAATATACTTGATAGACCATAGACATATATATTGAGTAATATCAAATTATGTCATATCATTATACAATTGAACCATCAGAGTATTATATACTATTTGAAAAATATAGGTGCGTTGGTCATTGTAAATGTGTCAAGTATTAACTAAATATTTATTATTATTATTATTATTTATTAAATACTTATAGTATAGTCATATAATATGATTAAATTCATCGAGTTATATTTTTAATATACATAATTTGACTCACCTAAAAATAGTATATTATATATATTTTTATAATGTTCCGGCCGAACTCTCATATTCCGCGACATTTCTTTTACTCATCGCGCACTCTGGAATATTTATTATATATGCGTTTTCACTTTTATCAACTTGACTACGGAATATTGTTTATACGTTTATACTGGTTTGTTTATAAACAAAACATCGTACCGTTTTCGTGACGCCCGAGCGTCCGTGACGGTCAGAGCGTCACTCTCTTTTTTTTCGATACCCCTCACATAAGAAGTTTCACTTCAAAAAAAAAAATCCATAATAAAGCATAGTGGGTTGGTAGTCTAGTATTTTTCCATTCAAATATCTAGGTAATTTTACTTATGTCTTCAATAAATTGTAAATTTAAAAATATGTTGTGCCATGAGGCCTTAATATTAGTAAAAGCAATACGATGAAAATAATAATATTGATAACATGACAACAGGTCCCAGAAATCACCTAGATCAATAAACACGAATAATTTTTAAAAATGTATGATTATGCGAGGATACACTAAAATATACACGTCAAATCTTTTTAAAAATACAAGATAACTATTTTTTTAATTACCAACCTACATTATTTCTGTGCTCTGAAGTTCGTCGTGTTAGAAGCATGATGATCAACATATTCCACAATAATCAACAGTTACAATTAAAACCTATATGTTTCAAAAATGTACTAAACGTACCTATTAAGTTACGTGGTCGCAGTTTATTATAATTGATTTGGTCATTGAAATAATAATATAATACAGAACATAATATTTTGTAGTGACAAGCGAATCTCATACGAAAATTTTTTACGATTTTTATACCTATTTAAGTTTTATCGATTGTTATAAGTTTGTTTTTTCATATATACGTAATGTTCAATAAAAGGATATTATAATACTATTATGTGCGGGATTGTTTCTCGAAAACCGCGTTCTTCCATTGTACTTCCGTACTTCCTCTCTCGGAAACATTCAAGATATAATATTATTATTATCTACAACACACATCCGGTGTGCTCCAGACCGATCCGGCCTACTCGGCGGCGAAATTCTCCCAGCGAGGTTTATTTTTAAATCATTAAGGATTTTCATTTTTTTATATTTGACGTGATAATAATGATAATATCGTTGCAATCGTCATTGGCTCACCTGAGTGCGTCATCGAAGTCGTGATTACAAAAACGTTTTTTTTTTTTATTAAAAATGTTATTCATCAGACGTTTCTATACGTAAACACCAACAGAATTGACGAATTTAACGGGATACATAATATTATTGTTGTATAATATATACCTACTTATATGGTCGTATTGATCGTCCCGTCCAATTATAGTGTTTCGATTGAGGACTAGACGAGAAAAAAAATAGATGTTACTGTTGAATTGACTATTATTGCAAAACCGAAGTAGAAAAACTTTTTTTCAGAACTTTCACCCGTATTGACGACGTATATCGCAATTTGTTTTTGATAGTTTTTCAACTAATTTATTCGGTATCCGAAAACAAAATATAAACTTTTAAATTTCCAGTAGCAAAATAAAATGTTGTTGAAAACCCCAATTTGACATAAGACGTATTTAAAATTGATAATGGCCAAGGGTATTGTAGTTAAAACAAATTATACTAATACGGTTGTTTATTAGACTTTATGAGGAACTAATTTACTCGAGTTACCGACCGTTTAAGACGCAATGACATTTTGACACTTGTTTTTTTTTTTTTTATAAAATTATATTACAATTATTCGAAAATATTGAAATTTTTTGAAAACGTGAACTTTTCGAATTCTTTATTTATTGCTTTCATATAAATACTGAACGAGTGTTGTTCACATAGTTGGATATATTATGTTCTTTGTTTTCGAAATTAAAAAAAAATATATAATGTTTCACTTTTTTGAAGAAACGAATATATTAATAATTAGTCTAGTATAATAGTTACCTATGTACTTGATTTGGTGACTAAATCTTGTTCTGATCGATTCAATTAGTGCAGTCAGCACAGTTGATTCAATTCACTGTACCTTCACTATTTGTTTTCATAATATTATGAATTGTGAAGTATAAAATTGGAGTTGCCTTAACTGTTGACACGAATCAGGATTAAATATGCAAACAATATTTAAACAATTTACGTATATCGCAGATAGAACTTTTATTTTTATACATTGGTAATAATGAACTACTTTTTTGTATTTGACGATACAGAGATTGGGTTAAAATCCAAAATCCAAAATACAATATTGACAATTTCATCTTGAGGAAAATCACTTTAAAATTGATTTATGAGCGAATTTTTAAAATCAACATTGATGTTTTTATGCTGCTGATTGAGTATGCGAGTGTACATATTTCGAAGTACCTATAGTTCCCAAATAGTTGTTGATGTACTAATGATCGTCTTCAGAAAAATAAATTATAAAAATTAAATTTCCTAAGGCCCGGTTTTTCAGTAGTATGTCTAAGTCTAACTGCTAGATAAGTAACTGTTGGATAAATTTATTTGGCAGATAAAGTTATGGTTATGCTGCTTTCCGTTTATCAGTAGTAATCCTTCAGATAGTTATCTCCTAGATAATTATCTAGAAGTTAAGGAATTGATGATGGATATTAATTACTTTGGTACAAGAAGTCACTCTCGTAATTGATCAAAATTACTCTTATCATTATATTTTATTGCATTATCATTATGTAGATAGCTAGGTATTGCCCATTTGCCCGTGTTATGTGTTAATATTTTTTCACATTTTTCAGTTCATAATTAATAATTATTCATAATTAATATTTTTAATTATTTTAATAGAATATACATAATATAATAGGTATACTGTATACATCTATTGATATTATGGAAAAAAAAATAGCTTCAATAACTAAAAAACGTGTAAGGTCGACAAATTTTTCCTTTAATGAGAAGGAATTGCTGTTGAAGTTTGCACTTCAAAAAAAAAGAGTTTTAGAGAATAAGGAGTCAAATGCTGTATCATGGAACGACAAAAACATAGCGTGGGTCGGTATTGCCGAAAAATATAATGCTGCAACACTTGGCTGTGTACGTATCATTTTTTATAAAATAGATATTATAATATATTTTAGTTTTATTATTTTTACTCAACAATCATGCATTTTTTTGTCCTTTTTTGATACCCGCCACTGAATTTATTGATTTAACAATGGTGTTTTTTTTATTTTTGTGAGAACAGCTTACATAGTAAAAAAAAAAACTACGAAAAATCTGAAGGAAAATAAAAAGTTGTGTCCAGTCTAAATCTAAAAACATGTATAATATGTTAAAAAAATACCCTTATCATCAATTTTGAAGGAGCTATCTGGGTTGAAAATTGGATCTAATTACTATGCACTTAAGCCTTAGAAATTAGAATAGTATTCTATAATAATATTTATTTTACTAAAATTCTTATTTAAGAAGTTATTTTAGTTATTATTTTGTTTAATCGAAATCCTACTTATTATAGCCGAGAGATCCTACTAACTTGAAGCAGAAGTATGAGAGTATTAAAAAAATGCTTAGGGGGTCCAAAAAAACTTTATTTGAAACTGGCGGTGGACCACATGTGAAACCTTATGAAGCACAGAGTGATTTAGAAAATGAATTATATTCTATAATCAGAATCTCAGCAGAAGGTTTACCTAGTAATTTTGATAGTGATATTCCAATCCGTAAGTTCCTACTCCTTACTACTCCTATTAATAAATACAATTTGTTATATATTATTCTGTAATGTCATACGTCCTACACTCCTACTGTACAAAATCTTTCTCTCCTTTGTAAAATGTTAAGTCCTACCTATAGGCTATAATTTATTGGTTAAACAATAACACTATTCTAAATTCATTTTTTTTTTTATTATATTATACTTGTTAGATAAATATGAAACTTTTATTCTTATATTCTTTTATAACTTTTAGATTACCAACACAAAATCCTGCCTCATACAAATCCATAATTCTTCTCTCAACCTTTTCTAAAATATTTGAGACAATTCTTTTAAAAAGACTCCTTCCTCTTGCTTCTTCTAAAAACATAATACCACACACACAATTCGGATTCAGACCAAAACACTTGACATTGCATCAATTACACAAAACAGTCACTATCATATACAGCTCCCAGGATAAAAAACAGTTCTGTATAGCAGTGTTACTTGACATCTCCCAAGCCTTTGATCGGGTATGGCACAATGGACTAATGCACAAACTTAATAAGTTTTTAACCTCCCATTATTTTCTCTTAATAAAATCATATGTGTCAAATCGTTCTTTTAATGTCTGCTTAAACAATACCTACTCAACCCCTTACACTATTAGAGATAGATTGTATAGATTGTAAATTATTTCAATTATAAAATTTGAAAAAAAAACTATTAGAATGAGATAAGCCTGAAAATATTTTTTGATAATAAATGTATTGTATATTTAAATTTATTGACATTATGATGAAAACATTTACTTAATGCATTATTTTCTAATTTATTTCTATGAACAAAAATCCATCACAACACAAGAAACAAATACGGACGATTGTGTTGAAGAATATGTTGTAAATGAGGAGGAGTTTGATGATGATGCGCCATCAACGCATGCAAATTTGTCGTTTACTAATCGTAATTATTATTATTTCTGTGCTTATTTACTTCATAATATTGTATTATGAACCTTGTGATAAATATAATTATAATTAATATAATAAATATAATATAATTAATATTGATACATTTATGATTTATAGTAATCAAACAATTTCCACCAACTACATCTTCTTCACTACAAGAGATAGATATAGTTGATACAGATATAAATAAAGAATCATATATTTTTACAGATGAAAATCAAGAGCAACGTAGGTCTAGATTCAAAAATTAAACAAAAATAAAATGTGTAGAACTTTAATAGCAAAATGCCTGAAATTATAAAAATTTAATTACTGTTTATCAGATAATAATCAAAACAATTCAACTTGGTCTCCTTTAAACTCAACAAAAATGCTAAGAACAACATCTAAAAATCCAAAATTATTATTTAATAACAGTCATCAAAAACAATGTGAGCTTTTATAATTTTAAATAAAATATTAATTTTCTGTTACATGCAGACATTTAAATATATACTACAATGTCTTCTTAAAAATTTATAGCTAACAATAAGAAACATTGCATGACCTCAGCCGGTGAAAAGTTTGAAGACCTTGCAGAGACCAAAATGGAGTTGGTATCTCTGCAACAACAACTTGTTAGACAAGAACTTTTACAGTCGTCTATTGAACACGAAACAAAATTAAAATATATGGCAGAAGAACATGCATTAAAACTTGAGATCTTAAGAGTTGAGTTAGAAATTAAAAAAAAAAATAATTTAATTAAATTTAATATAAAGCTAATAAAAGCTATAAAAAGCTTTTTTTTTAACTTTCTTAAAATGTTGAGCCATCAATAATAAATAATAAACAGTACAATTTTAATTCCTAAATATAATTGTATTTTCATTGTAATTATAATTAATATAAAATTGTGAAATAAGTAAAAAATAGTTATAAAATATATTATTATTAATATCAAATAGTAATTAAAATGAAATAATAAAATATATTATTACTAATAGTGATACCTAATAGTAGTAATATTATATAAGTAAAAAATTTATATTTATATTTATTTATAATAGTATATAATTCCTAATTTTTTAAATAATAAAAGTTTTATCTAAGCAAATCTAAATTTGTATGTTTTAAATGAAGATACCTAATGTTTATAGTCTAGAGAAATACTCTCTTGTCAATTGTTGTCTTGCACAACCTTCTTCATCTATTACTTCATGATTAACATTGATTATTTCATTTGGTGGTAATACTATGTCTATGAGATCAGGGGCTTCTAAATCATTGTTATCGCATGCAATGTTATGTAATATAGAACAAGCAACAATTATAGCTTGTGATGTAGTTAGCTTCAAGCGTAGACCAAGAGATAAAATTGGGAATCTACGTTTAAGAACTCCATATGTTCTTTCTACTGGATTTCTGGTTCTAATTATTGACTCATTGTACAGCTCTTCAATATTTCCCCTTGGATTTATAAAAGGAGTCACAATATGACTGGTGTTTTTATATCCACTATCTGCAACAATTAAGCTATTTCCCCATTTACCATTAACCAATTGACTGTAAATATTTGAATTTTTGAAAATTGTTTGATCATGGCAAGATCCTGGCCAGCGAGCTACAATGTCCATTATTTTTAAATCAGGCGAAACAACTGTTTGGACGTTCAATGAAAAATATCCTTTTCGGTTTCGAAAATACTCAGCATTATGACCTCCTAAAATATTATTATAATTATTATTTTATGTGATACATAAAAATATGTATCTGCTAGTAAAAAATAGTAAATTTGTTTTTGCAACATCATAGGCAGTAACACCCTAGGGCATTAAAAAATAATAATTGAGGAGGTGTTAGTACAGATGTTTTATTGGTGATTAAGATACCAGACTTCCACCTGTGTATAGCATTACAATATAAATTCTTTTTATATGAAGTTAGTAATAATAGTTAATAATAATCAATAACCTGGGCTTTGAATTCGAATATGTGTGCAATCTATTGCACCTATAGCTCTCGGAAATCTAGCAATTTTGTAAAAACATCTCTGTAATGTATACACTTCTTCATCTGTAGTTGGCATACGAATAAATTGATGACATAGGCTTGCAATAGCTGTGCTAACAGTACGAACAATTACACATGCAGAAGATTTACTAACACCGAGAAAGTCACCAGCAGTAATAAGAAAACTTCCTGTTGCATAGAATCGCAGTGTCAATAATAATTTGTCTATAGGTGCTATTGCACAATTCCTTTAGAAATAAAGAGAAATTAAAAAATATTATTAAAAAATTAAAGATTATTAATTGGAATTGTATAGACCGATTCCAACATGTAAAGTAGGTTGCCATTTAAAAATAGTATGGTGTATCATATTGATGTGAGATAATTATAAATAAATTTAGAATGGTGTAATGAATGTTGGTTTAATACTTGAAAATACTTGCAAACTTATATTGTAATTTCATAAATACAACATTTTACCTTACTATTTTTGTACAAAATAGGAAGTACCTACAATTATTTTTATATTTTATTCGTTTAAAGCAACTTTTTAATTTTTTTATCCAAACTTACCATTGGTTTTCTACAGATATATTGTCCGTTATTAATTCTAAAACTTGTTCAACAACAACTTTAGAAAGTCTAAACCTTATCCTAAAATCATGATCATCCCATTTTATCATATGATTAATTCTATCTCGTACCGTGTAAGGTCTTCGACGATAATTAATAAACTCTAATATTTCGTCATCGTCGTCATCAAATAAAAGATTTGGCTGAATATTAATTATATTATAATAGTTATTTATTCTAAACAAAAATTTAGGTCAGGTACACATAAAATTTATATATTTTGAAACAAAGTTGTACAATACAATCATATAATGATGAGGTAGTTTATTTTTTTAATAATAATATAATAATAATGTATAAACTCTATGTTTTAATCCTTCAGTTAAACATTTAACTAGTAGAAAAAGTAATCGATAACTTAACCAACACTTTATCCTACAGTTATATTTAACCATTAACTGATAAACTGAAAAGTTTCAGTTAACTCTCTGTTAAATTTAACTGATAGTTAAATGTCTCTAACTAGCAGTTAAATATGACTGAAAAACCGGGCCTGCATAAAAAAATATTAATTACCTACGTGTTTGTTTGCCGGAATTAATTTCAACTAAAAGAGTAATATATATATTTTTTTATCTAAATAAATGATTTAAAAAATATATTATAGGTATATAAAATATTTTAAACGAAACCACTGGTTTGGTACAATTTCCTACCCTGTATGGCTACGTGGTAACCTACTGTACAGCAGAGCGACATCCACTTACCCACCTTTCCTACTTAATTTTTTTAGTTTATACCACGTTTTTGAAAATTACTCTGATTTTTTTATTTTTATCCCCCCAAAAAAGAAAAATACTAATTAGATTCACTTTCCTATCATCAAAATATGCTGAAGTAGAACATTTGGATACCAACATTATTTCCCCCCCCCCCCCAGAATCTTAAAAAAAAACTTAAATAAGAAAATAATCTAGAAGCTACTAATAAATATGTGTTATTAACTTCATGCGTTTGAAGAATTAATGTACTGTATTTTTTTTTTAAATGTCTTATAAAATATTGAGTGGGTGGGTAGAATAAAATCATTGCTCCTTGTGTGAAAATCGTTCGCCACGCCACTGGGCGGATATCGTTACCATATTATGGCCATGGTAATTTTATATTAGATTTTATTCACGAAATTAGTAAATACGTCAACAACACAGACCACAAATATATTATTACATTTATTTATTTGTGTCAAATAACCGCACATCATGCCATATAGTTATATATGTCATAATTTATAAGGTAATATATTATAATATTATACTATTTACCTATGGGTATATAGATATACGCCTATACTAGAATATAAGCACACACAGGTGTCAAGATAATTTACGCTTATAATATAGCATAATATTGTTAATTATATATTTAATAATATTACATTAATAATTACGGAAGCCGAACATTTATTCGACAGTCGTATTATGGGATCGGCAGCTACAAAATAATATTGACTATAATATTATATAGTTGTTGACCGGATCTGGCTCGATCGATCGTGATACGTCCCGACTATTAGCCGGAACCGAATATTTTTTTTTCGTTTACACGCACAGTGACGTAGTTCTCAGTTCGTCTTGTTCTCTGCGTGCACCGCGCTCAACAATGACAGAGCGGCGCCACCGGAAGTTGGAAAGAGGCTTTAACAATACATTCGATTAGCCACTAGCGTGTATCCGGTAAATCGTGCATTGGTTCCTCGGATGGATTGACAGTGTTCGATTGTGGTTGGATGTTCAACATATTTCGTCATCACAATAATATTTTCCAAACGATTGAGTGCGTTTCATCATAATAATATTTTCCACGACGACTTCGACGCATTCAATCTTTTCATCTATATTTATGTATAGTACTATTCTATCGATGCTACTGCTGGTTGCGTTCTCATTACTGATTTCTAAATTAGTGTTCGACGACAAATGGCATGTTAATAAGACATGCATTTAGTTCGTCACCATGTGTCCATGGCCGAGGTATCTTACAACAGGTGGCGGGTACAACTCCGCAGGGCCGGTCTGGAAATACGAATTTTCCCGATGAAGTGAACCATAATATTATGGAATGGTTGCGTGTCATTTTATATGAGATTTTATTTACAAACTTGGTAAATACGTCAACAATTATTTGTTGTATTAAGACTTTAAATCTATGCAATTATTGTAGGTATTATCATTATAATTATTATTAATTGTGTTACATTTTAATAGTATCGTATGAGTATAAGAAAAATCATCGGATATAGGTACAATTTAAAAATATCACATGCACAATATTGTAGACATAAAATAAAAACAATATCTCGACGTCAGCTGTTTATTATTATATTACAACACCCGGGTAGCGAGTGTGTTTTGATTAAAACTCAGCAGAAGTAATTTTTCAAAGAAATAATATTAATAATATTAAATGCAGATAATATGACTTGTTGAAACCGTGCTTGCTGACAGTTATATATCTGTAGAGCGGTGACGGACATAGCACTACCTAATTGGCTAATTGAACAATAACTAATAATACATAACATTGTGTAATTGGGCCAATAGTCATTATTATTTGCATAAACAATATCTGTAGTAAATCCAAACAAATCTTTGCATCATGCAAATGTGATGTGGTTATGCTGGTTACTGGTTAAGGGCGTGAAGAAGACGCTACACCCGAATGCGCTGTAATTATTTTGTTTACTTTTTATATACATTGTAATACCATCCCTGTTACGCAGATTGCATGTGAAAAGTCATTTTCAACATTAAAATATTTGAAAAACAGTCTAAAAAATGCAATGACCAATGACGATAAAAAATTAAATTCTCATTTAATGAGATAACAATATTATTATAAATGCAGTTAGTGAGAACACTACTTTGTTAAGTTCAAAGCTGTAATGCTGTATAATGTGATGATAATAATCATATGAAGTGTACGATAATACATATTATATAGGTACCTATTAACCTAGTATTTAATAGATACTATTAAATATAATATTATTTATTACTATTAACCTAGTATTTAATAGATTATTCACAAAAAAATATTGTTGAATCAATAATAATAAAACATAGAAATAAAATGAATGTATAATAAACAATTCATTAAATATTGTTTTGGTAATCACGACAACCATAGCAATCCTGCTTTATTTATCAAGTAAATATTTTCATTTTTACACGACTCTGTTAAAGTATAAAGTTGTATAATATATGTTCATAATATTAATATACTCATATGAAATATACGATAATACATAATATAATATGCTATAGAGTGGGTTATGACTAGGTATACCCACTGAAATCTGTACCTACATGGAAGGCGCATTGTATATTATAATTCATGTATTGAAAAGTGTCCCCGTATCGAGGGCTGCCATTTTGATTCCGTTAGTGTTCCTATCGATGGTTTGTCATTGATAGAATTATTTTATTAGCTTATGTTCTACGAAATATCAGTGATACACCGGTGGATCGCATATTTCGCAGATAATTTTTATTGTTTATTCTATGAGAAGAATCAAAATGGCATCCTACTAGGGTGGAACAGTTTTTTTTTCCCCAATGCGCGTTCCATAGTATATACTGCAGTTCAGTGGGTATAGCTGGGTTACCTACCTATTTAATAAATTATTGACAAAAATATTGTTGATTGATTGGTAATAACAAAAATAAAATATAGAAATTAAATGAATGTTTAATAAACAGTTCATTAATGTTTTGTTAATCACACCATCCATTTTAAAGTGAAGACAGATGAAAGAATGTCATCAGATGGAAATAACGTAATATTATATTGTATAAAGAACCGAAAGAACTCCCTATAGTCGCTACTCACTACACGATAATATTAATTTAATTAAAGAGTTTCTCTAGTCAAGCGTAAGTAAGTCCGGAGCGGCCATAAAAGAATTGTTTAGTTTGTAAAACAGTTATTATAGTTTAACAATTACCATTTTTCGTCGGATTCAATTTTTATCGTTTTATCCGCTACGGTAAACGCGGCCAGCCATCATTTTTCCGTCGGAACTGTGAAGTATGCAATAATTTGTTAGATACTGACACGCCATGTTACGTGAATGATTTATGATTATGAGGAGATTGAATAAACAATAAATGAGTAGATGGACTAATAATAATATAGGTAAAAATGTGAAATTTTTTTTTGTATTCAATATCATTAGCTGTACGCTAACATCGGTTCGTTTTAAAAGCATGTTTAGTTTTACCTTTATTTTTCAAGTATAACAATAGAATGTATTTAAATATTGCAGATAATGAATACTAGAAGCCTATGTTGTTGAAGTCTTTACCAATTAATAAAAAAAAAAAATATATATATAATATTACCAGTTACTTTGGACTAAATTAAAATACTTAAAAACTAAATTTATATCTGAGTGGTATAAAAACTGATCGCTTTGTATTCCAAGATGACAGTGACATACTGTGACATGAACAACGGCGCCCTGATGGGAAGTTACCTGCAGCGATGTTTTTTTTTAAATTTAATTTAGAGATTTTTTTTATTATTTGAAGAACACAATATAATTACAAACAGGGCCGGACTGGGCCACTGTGCTACTATTCTACAGCACAGTGGGCCGCGTGCTACGGTTAAAAAAAAAAAAATTATAAATACTAAAATATTAAAGTCAATCTAATTATGCAAGGGCTTATATTTTATGCCAATAATACGAATCAATACAAGTTTACTGAGCGTTAGGCAGTTGGTAGTATTATCACAAAAACGCAGTGGAATTGTGGAAATATTACAAAAATAAACACTGAATACAATATTATTATCGGCCTATTGTAGCCACAGATATATCTATATACCTATATTATATATGCTGCGATGGTGGCCGATGCAGTGGTAGTAGTGGTCACACTGTCATAGACATAATATAGAACATAACTCTATGGTAGTGGTTATTTTTTATTTTATAATTTATTTTGGTGGCTAAAAATAGTTTTATAGTTTTATTTCCCAATTTATTGATTACCTACCTAGATGATATCAATAATATTATAACCTAACATCATGTTTTATTTTGTAAAATAAAAAGAAAATAGTCTTGTATTCTTGTTATTCTTGTCCGGTGTTTTGTTGTGGTTACTATAAATGCTCGAAGTGATATATAAAATCCCGTGACGAGTGACGATATAGTGAACAACATCGAGTACGGTTAATACTTAAATTTATAAAAATGGAAAAGGTAAAAAAAATCGTAAAGGAGGAGCAGAAAAAATTAGAGCCAAACGAATGTCTGAACTTAAGGCAGCAGGAAGTGATCCGAAACAAAAGAAATTGCAATTTTGTACAACTATTAACACACAAAATGGTACGTTCTTATAATATTAATTAAACTATAATATTTTGAATGGGTATGTTTTAGATAGTTAATAAATGTGTGTGAAGTATTATAATTTATATTACTTTGACATTTTTAGATAACTTTAATGATGAAACATCAAAACAATTAGAAATAATAAATAATCCTACATCGACTAGTGTAAGTGTTAAAGTATATTATATAACACATTAAAATATTTTGCAAATGTTTAAAAAAACTATATATTTTTATTTCAATACCTATGTGTTGTAGACTATAGAATAGAAAACACTTATGTTTCTTATTAGAAATAATTTATATTGAATTTATCTTTAAAGGATCCTGTGTGTGCCAGTACATCCACTGTGCATAATACCAGTGATTTAAATGTCAATGACAGAAGTTTGGAATTAGTAATATCTCATGATAATGAAACAAAAAAATCCTACATTTTCTAGTGTAAGTGTTAAAGTATATTACACATGCGAAAATTTGGCAGCTAAAAATTTATTTGGTTTATTAAATAGATTAGCAACTTTTTTTTCTGATTCATACAAAAAGATGGGTGTGTGGAAAGAAATTCAGGAAAAACTGACAACCGGTCAAAACAAACTGAAAAAATTACAGAAAATAGGTGAAACTCGTTGGTGGTCTCGCGAAAAAGCATTACTATGGATGTTTGACGGAAATGACTGTTTATATCCTATAGTGATAAATGCATTGGATTTTGTGGCAACATCAAAAACTTTTGACCCAAAATCTATTTCTGAAGCCAATTCATTAAAAGAAAAGTTGTGTCAATTTAATATTATAGTAACAGCTCATTTATTTCTTCCAATTTTCAAAAGTATTGGCCCTACTTCAACATACCTACAATCAAAGAATTTGGATATATTGAATGCTTTTTTAATGGTGGATAAGTGTATTGCTGACATAAGTAACTTAAAATTTGAGAATGTTCTTAAATCATCCAAAGATTTCGTTTTAAAAATGAATAATTCCCTTCACAAAATTGCATTAAATAAAGAGATATTTATTGAGAATGAATTTTCCTAAAAACAGAAGAAGAATAAAAAAACTTATGTTTGATGAAGTTTGTGACGATGAAGCACCAACAGATCCAAAACAAAAATTTCGAGTAGAAGTTTTTCAATGTATCATCGACCAATTGCGGACCAGCCTAACTGAAAGATTTACTAACAATAAAAGTTTGGTTGCAGATATGCAATATTTATTGCCAAAACATTATAATGATATAAGAAATAAATTAATTCCTAAATCAGCATTACAAAAGTTATCACTATTATCATCTGTTGATCACTCAAAATTAATTGACGAACTTGAACACTTTGCTGGAATTTATGATAAAATTTCTAAACCATTATATAAAAAAACTGTTGATAATTTGACGAAAACACAAATAATGATGATGATAATTTAATTGTAACTGATATGGATTATGAAGATTTTTCTTTGGATTGGGATGATACTCATCTATCTGTTACAGGTAACTAAAAAAAAATAAATTGTTTATTAAATATATCATATTTTAACCAAATTCAACTATAAAATATATTTATATGTTTTTATTCGTGTTAAGATATTTATATAAAGATTTTTTTTTCAGAATCTGAATGTGAACACTCTTTTATCCGTGATGAAAAAGGTATACATACCCGAGAGAATTGTTTGATTTGTGTTTTTAATTTACTTCATTCGCTTTATTTACATATGCCCACTTATTCTAATTTATATGCCGCCATGGAATATGTACTAACCTTATCGGTAACTCAGGTTAATTGTGAACGCGTATTTAGCAAATTAAAAATTATAAAAAATCGTCTACGCGCTTCATTATCTAATGACCGCTTAGATGCTTTTTTATTAATGTCTGTAGAAAAAGAAATATTAAATGATTTAAATTTTGAAGATATTTTGGAAATTATTAAAAACTCATCTCATACTTTATCTAAATTATTATCGTTCACATAATTACATAATTATATAATTATAAAATCGAATTTGTCATACTGTTACTTGGTGTTACTGATTTATACCTATATGTATTGATATATTTTACATTTTCTTTGTAATCAACACCGACAAAGTTCCTAAATCCTAATTCTTATAAAACGTTGGTAAAGGTAGAAATACTATTGAGAAAAATGTAATATTGTGTTAGTTGGGCCGTTAAATATAGTAAAATGGGCCGGTTGCATACAGAGAATAGTGGGCCGAAACCCTTCCAGTCCGGCCCTGATTACAAAGTATTAAAATAATAAAAATTACTTACACATTTACGCTAAACTTGTGGTGGTGTAATAGTACAGAATACTTAATATTATAACAAATAATAACAATACACTATATAACACTATATAATAAAAAGAGAGAAAAAAAAATGTATGTGTATATTTTATTTGTAATAAACATTGACTTAGGTCACTAAATAAAATATTATAAATACATTTTAGATTCTGAATGGAACGATGAATGTATTGATTTTACAATGATGTATGTTTTTTTTTTTTCATTTCTTTTTTTGTGTCTGTCATCACCTTTTAGGACAGTAAAAGTGCTTGGATTTTCTTCAACAGTAGCTTTTCTGATAGGAACTTTGGGGGGTCAAAAGTGAAAATTTCCCAGTAGTTTTCAAAAGTGGCATGAAAAACAAAATAAAAACTAAGGAAAAACGGGACTTTTTACACTAAAATTTGTTTTCAAAAAAATCGATTTTGGTTTTTGGTTCATCTCTGAAACAAATTACCGTAGGTACATGAAATTTTGACTGAATGTATATATTAGCATTTTCTATACACGATAACATTTTCAAAATATTTTGATTTGTTTTGAAATGTTTAGGGACATTTTCATTTTCCATTTTTTTTTAGTTTTTTTTTTAAAATATCAATAAAATTTTATTTGTTGGTTGCGAAAGCTTGAAAATTTAATAGAAGGCTCCTACTATATTGTTACAATGGCATTTGAAAAATATTAAAAATCCTTAGTTACAGTTTTTTTTATAAGCATTTAAAGTTCAAAAATTGACAATATATGGAAAAATCACGAACATTTTGAGTTAAGAATTCGTAAATTTTTTTCTTTTTAAATCTAAGATTTTAAAATGTAATACAAGATTTCTCATAAGATTATCTACCTTTATCAAAAAAAAAAAATTTCTATATGAAAGTCAAATTAAATATTTTATGAGCGTTTGAAACTAAAATTTTTACAACATTGGATATTCACTCAATTTCTCATGTAGCGATTTCCTTATTTAGTTGTAATTCAAAAACGAATAACTGTAGTGCATGAAAATTGCACTGCATGTTTATATTAGCATTTCCTACAAACCATACAATTTTGAAAATGTTTTGACTCTTTTTGAGCTGTTTACGGACATTTAGAGTTTTTAATTATTTTTTTGTTTTTTTTCTATAAATATCAATTAAGTTTTATCTGTTTTGCCAAAAAATGTAAAAATTTAATACAAGGCTCCTGATATATTGTTATATTATCAGTTGAAAAATATTTAAAATACATAGTCACAATTTTTTTTTATAAGCATTTAAAGATCGAAATTTGACAAAATTTATCGAATTTAAAATTGAATAATTATTTTGTACTTAGAAATGTATAATATATTTAAATTTTATATCTAAGGATTGAAAATTTAAAACAATATTCCACGTAAGTAGTTAATTCTGTTACCAAATAACATAATAAAAAACCTAGGATAACTATTTTAGTTATTTTGTTGTGATTGTATAACATTATTCGTGGGTACTTGAAACTTCTAAAGTACACTATTATATATCTAAGATAGTATCAGGGTTTGTTGTTGATGTATAACGCGTTATAAGTACCTAATGGATATTGTGATATGATTAATTTGGAATTTATTATAGGTACCTACTTATTATAGGTCATTTTTTTTTAATACCATAGATAAGTGTATAACATGTCTTATACCTAGACTGACATACCGTCTCCGCTCATAATCGTTTTTCTTATACAATGATATTACATCATTGAATTCAAATTTAATACCATCCATTATACAGTGACCCACTTGTAATCTACTGTACAGCAGAGCACCTTTTTTGATGTTAATTTTAGCATTAAAAATATATTTTTCACATCAATTGACTAATAGTTAAAAATTTACAGGACCCAGCAGCTGATAACTAATAAACTTTTGACCAAAACTTGTAAATAAATAACACTTTAATATTGCATAGTCTATAATATCTTCCCAGTGACGGCGTATATCAGCCATACATATACATGATATTATAATAATTGTTACATCAAACAAACGATGCCGGACCCCGGAGACTGACACCGAATTCGTAACGAACGTCTAATATAGGACAACGCTATAATCGTTACTGTGTAATAATAATGTGTGCATAAAAAAATGTGCGATCGCCCTATCACACCGACACCGCCAATACTAACTGCACAAGGGCGAAGTCTCGCGATTATTCGGCTATGTCATGTAAACGCGAGAGTAGGCCGATAAAAGTTACGTAACGGCGCTTTCGTGAATTCATATCACGTGATACACGACTGTTTGATAAGGCTGGAAGCTCATATAGGGCTCATAGGGCGTTGCACTGCACAGGTACCTATACTAATGTACTATATTTGTACACCGGAAACAAACTGCAGTAACTGCAGTTATGGCCGTATGCATAGTCAATTTGTGCGTCTCACGCGAGACAGAGTTTAACATGCGTCCGACACATAAATAATTGACAGTGCACAAGGACATGAGTTTAACATGTTTTTAAATTGGGACGGGCTATAGGAGTGTGTACTGCACATTTACACCGTATTGATGATTGTATAAAATTTAGGCGGTGGAATACGCCGACGGGCAAAGGGCATAAGCCTATGCGGAAAAAACGCGGTGGAAAGTGATGATGTGGCGCACAAAACGATACTAACTGTAAACGCTGTGAACCATATTATTATAGCTCCCCATCTCTAGGACGATAAAATATGTGACCTGGTCACATCGAATGTTCTTATACCTGCTGCTGTAACCATGGTATATATAATATATAATAGTATGTACTCAGTGTTGTACTGTCGCACTGCTGCAGTTACGTGTCGCGTATTTTCACTGAGCTCCATACACTCACGAAACGTGATCTGGCCGGTGAAGTGTTCGATATATTACTTTGACAACAGCAGTTCGTGACCATTAAATTCCTTAAGATATTAGATGCTTTCTTCGTTCTATGATTGGAATTCCATTAGTTAATCTGCCACTAGGTGCCACGACTGGCGGCCAGCTGAGCTCATTTTAAGTGTCCACGAATCGCGACAAAAGCTTAAAAAAAACTACATAATATTTTACTTAAATGTCCGTGTATATTTAATATTCTTTGAAAAAAAGTTATTCGTTCTAGATATGAACTAGCTGACTGACATAGAACAACGTATATCGCGTTACCCGCTGTTGTCTCGGAGCTATATGTCGAACACCGACGACTTAATATATCATATTATTATATTCTATTGTTGGATTGCACAACACATTTAAATAGTGAGCTAATGGTCTCTTGAACAAGATTTAGTGGCCCGTAATTGACCCGTTGAATTTTTAGTGAACCATTAAATTTAATAAATCGTTTATGCAACCCAGCATAATATAGTGTTTATAACCGACTATGGTCGTCAAGACGAGTGTTAGACCCCTGCGACCCACAACTTCATGATATCAAAAAACAAACTCTTCAGTTTCATAATATTAGTATAGATTATAATTAATTATAATAAATAATGTTTATATTATAAGCGGTAATAAGAATTCAGAATGAAATTGTTTTAAAAAATCCTACCATATTAAATTAAAACAATGAAAAGTATTTTCATTTTACATATTATAATTGTTGAAATAATAAGGAACAAGGTCAGTGGATAAATTGTCTCGAACTATTACAAACTATGTAGTACCCTCGAATCCTTTTTTAACTAAATAAGTAATTACATAGGTTGTTCCGAGTTTTACGAAGTTTCGTAAATTGCGACCAACGATCGCGTTTTTGAATTTTTTGTTAAATAAAATCACAATGAGTTGTTTAAGTCAATTGTTATAATCATAGCATTTAAATATTATATGGTCCGTATAGTATATAATTTAGGGTTTGTTAGGGAAGTAAGAAGTTTTTCAAAAATCACGAACTCTGTATAATCAAAAAAATTTAAATATTTGTTTTTTACTATTAATCAATATCTACATAATGCAGTTTTAAAGAAATATTGATATTTAAAAATAAAAATGCAATCCGCTAATAAAATTTAATGGCAGCCATTTGAATCGCTGTGATTTCTCTCCGAATGGAATCTGAAAAGGTTAACTGTACAAGGGTTTGTCTTTTAAAACTTTAGCTTAAACTTCGTAAAAATTATCCCAAGCCAACCGAAAACGTAAGCCACTCCCCACTAGGTTATATAGCCTGTTCAAAGACATCTTACCTCCATGGCTGAATCTGAATATTGTTTTTCACGACTATCCCGAAATCATTTGTTTAAAAAACGGAAATTTGAATATCTTTAGTTGTGATTTTAACGGGAAAATCGATTTCCAAATCAAAGCTTATGGAAAAACTATGTCAGCTAATTATTATTGAAATATTTTAATTCAAAACCATCATATTATTTTTTATGTGTACTTATAATATATTGTTAAACGACAGTTATTTGTATTATCTTTGTTTTTAATAATTCACGGAAAATATAATAATATTAATGTAGTTTATTGATAATATTATATCGTTACAATAATATGTTCCATTTTTATTTCGGAGAAAATATCTTAAACTTAAAGCCTAACTGTGCACTAACAGAGATTGGAAGAAGCACATAGCCGAAGGACCACTCGACGAGTAGAGTCGAGACCAAAAGTTAGTTGTTGATGGAATGGTTTAAAATATCACGTTTTATCGACCCGACAAATGTTGCCTTGTAATAACTCGAGT